TTAGCATATCCTTAATAATAATGTCTGAATCATTTATTCATTTTAACACTGTATGGCACCATATTTAAACAAGAAGAGGGTAACCTCCCTGCTGTGGTTTCAGAAGATGAAGCAGAGTACAGTCAGATTCCTGTCATTGTTATTTAATAATTTTGGTAATTGGTGGCACTTAGATGAAAAACCAGAGAACCAGTTGCATGTGGAACACAGTTTTTTACGGTTTGGTTTTTTAGTCATTGCTACTTGTCTAGGTTATGATTCCTTCTCACCATATATCTTACCATGATAAATATAAATTTTAAGTGGTGCCAATCTTATTCTAATTTTTTATGTGCCCCCCATTGTCATCCCAATGGTTTGATTTCTTTTTTAACATGGGATACAATTTCTTGTTTCCTTTTCACTTTTGTTGTTTTATATTCCTGTTCTGTGCTCAAAAATTATAAAATTTAAATAAAAATTAGCACACAGACTTTTTAAAAAAATATTTATTTATTTGAAAGGTAAGGTTACAGAGTCAGAGGCAGGGAGAGAGAGAGGTCTTCCATCTGCTAGTTCACTCCCCCAGATGTCTGGAATTGCACCGATCCAAAGCCAGGAGCCAGGAGCCAGGAGCCAGGAGCCAGGAGCTTCTTCTGGGTCTCCCATGCGGGTTCAGGGGCCCAAGCATTTGGACCATCTTCTACTGCTTTCCAAGGCTGTAGCAGAGAGTCAGATCAGAAGTGGAGCAGCCAGGACTCACACTGGCCCCCATATGGGATGCAGGTACTGCAGCTGGCAGCTTTACCTGCTATGCCACAGTGCCAGCCCCGATACATAGATTTAAATAAACTAGTTATTTTTTGTAAAAATAAAAAGAATCTAAATTCCATGTAACATTATACCTCTATCACTGTCTCCTCTGTGTTATGGGAGTTCTCATTGGAAGACTACAGTACACATAATGTGAGTAATTCAATCACCCAGGTTCCTACTCATTCAACATTTCTCATAGACACCAGTACAGTGTGACTTAAACCTTGTCATTTGGACATAAATTAAACATAGTGCCCCAATTGATTGAGCGGACAGTTTTCTAGTGTGACAAAATAAATGCAATAAAAGAGGTTCATTGTACCAACAAGACTATGTGGAAAGAAATGGTTTGACATTTTATCATATCATTGTATATTGATTTGTGCTTCAGAAAAATTCAGTGTGCTTTCTTGCAGCTGTTATTTTCAGCTGGCTTGAAGGTAAATAGGAAAGAATTTCAGAAAGGCTTGCTTCAGAGGCATTGTTTGAAGACAACAGATACATTTTTTATTATCATCTGTCAAGCCATCACATCATTATTGATTTTTAGTTCATAGCTTCAAAGTGCATAAGCCCAAATATATTGATATAATGATGCTTATGTTGAAAAATATTTTTTGTGGGGGAAAAACTTTTTAAAAAGGTTTATTGTAATAGTTATTGAGGGAGAAAAAGTGGGGATGTTGGGGGAGAGAGAGAGAGAGAGCCTTTTGTCCACTTGTCCATTTGGTTTGTTCCCCAAAATGACTGCAATAGTGCCAGCCCGGAGCTGGGAGCCTCATCCAGGTCTCCCTCCTGGGTAGCAGGGACTCAAATGCTTGGAACCTCTTCTACTGCTTTCCTAGCCACATTCCAGGGAGCTGGATTGGAAGTTTAGCAGTTTGGACCCAAACTGGTGCCTATGGGATGCCATCTTCACAGGAGGCATCCTGTGCATAACCTGCTATGCAACAATGCCTCAAAACACTTACCTGCTAAAATGATTTATTGACAAGTGCTATTGATATATGAGTTGAAATACTATTTGAAATTTAATTTTTAATTCATTGTCAAAGCTATTGCTATTTTCCCATTATGTAAATGTTTATTTCAGAATTGATGTTTTGTATCTGCTATACCTTTCTAGTATGTACCCAAACATACTAGCATTTCTTTATTCTCTACTAAGTATGAAAAATATGTTCTATAATATACAAAATTGAGTAATAGCCCTTTTTTAAGATGCTGTCTTTGAATCAGAAATAATTAGTTGGATGCTTAGAAAATGAAAAATATGAATTCTTTCATTTTGCAATGCAATCATTAACATTATACAATCATTTACTTAATAAGACTTTTATAATCATAGATCACTTATTTATATGGTAATATCATCAGAAAACTAAAAAATGATGCCAAAGCACTAATTTAATCACATTTTATTAGGAAGGGAATTGTAATGAAAAACCGTTCTGACAGAAGTAGTTTTTTTTTTTAAAGATTTATTTATTTATTTGAAAGTCAGAGTTACACAAAGAGAGGAGAGGCAGAGAGAGATAGAGAGAAGTCTGCTGGTTCACACCCCAGTTGGCTGCAAGGGTGGGAGCTGCGCCAATCTGAAGCCAGGAGCCAGGTGCTTCCTCTAGGTCTCCCACGTGAATGCAGGGGCCCAAGGGCCTGGGCCATCCTCCACTGCTTTCCCAGTACATAGCAGAGAGCTGGATCTGAAGTGGAGTAGCCGGGTCTCGAGCTGGCGCCCATATGGAATGCCAGCTCTTCAGGCCAGGGCGTTAACCTGCTGCACCATATCGCCAGCCCCGACAGAAGCAGTTTTTTTGTTTGTTTGTTTGTTTGTTTTGACAGGCTGAGTTAGACAATGATAGAGAGAGAGAGACAGAGAGAAAGGTCTTCCTTTTTCTGTTGTGTGGCCGCTAGGCCTGGCACGTTGTGGCCGGCGCACTGCGCTGTTCCGAAGCCAGGAGCCAGGTGCTTCCTTCTGGTCTCCCAGGGCCCAAACACTTGGGTTATCCTCCACTGCACTCCCGGGGCACAGCAGAGAGCTGGACTGGAAGAGGAGCAACAGGGACAGAGTCCGGCACCCCAACCGGACTAAAACTCGGGGTGCTGGTGCCGCAGGCAGATTAGCCTAGTGAGCCATGGTGCCGGCCTACAGAAGTAGTTTTAACAATTACATTTTCTTGGCAAATCCAATTGAAATTACAACTTCACTTTTTAGTGATATTCTATAAGCTACAATCATTTCAATTCAAGACCAAAAGCTCAATACCATATGCCAGACAACTGGGAGAGAACAAGTGCAGTGCAGCCCCTTCACCAACACGTTTCCTTGTACTAGAAATTGAAACTAGTAGATACGTAAGGGATGGTCCAATGAGGTCCTAGAGGAAAAGAAGAAACAGACTACTTTGGGATTCAAAGTAAAGAGAGTTCATTTATTATTGGGCAGTAGCAAAATACAATTTATCATATAGGTAGCAATTGAAATAGACCTTAATATATGAGTAGAGTTTTTAGAAATACATGTGAATGTGATAGCTAAAGAAATATTTTATGCTAGAAATGTTTTCTCCAACAGTTAAATTACTCATCTCTTGGAGATATCCATATGTTCTTTTAGAAACAGAATTATTGAATGGAAATCCCTTTGTGCAAATAATAAAACTGATTGAGGTGCGTTTGTTCCAACAGAGGAGGGAAGAAAGTTAAAGGCCTAAATTCTCCATCTCTATTTCTGTTTGTCACCACTATTTTTTTTATCAATATTTCTAAGAATATATGCTGTAATTTGAAATGGCACATTTTATAATCATTGGAAAGTGTATCAGTTATTATTATTAAGCTTTTTATTATTGTTTTATTGTTATTATTATTAAGCTATTTATTTATTTTAAAGGCAGAGTTACAGAGAGAGAGAAGGAGAGGCAAAGAGAGAGAGATCTTCCATCCACTGGTTCACTCTCCAAATGGTGGCAACAACCAGAGCTGGACTGGTCTGAAGCCAGCAGCCAGGAATTTCTTCCAAGTCTCTCACATAGGTGCAAAGGCCTAAGCACTCATGCCATCCTATTCTGTTTTCCCAGGCACATTAGCAGGGTGCTGGATCAGAAGTGGAGTAACTGGGACATGAACCAGCACCCACATGAGATGCCAGCATTGTAGGCTGCAGCTTTATACCCTATGCCACAATGCAGATCCCACAATTATTATTTTAAAATAGAAATTATAAGAAGAAAAGTGGGAAGGAATCATATTGGCTTGTGGGAATGTGTATTTGCTAGAACCTGCATTTCAGCTTTTCAAAGACAAGAAAGGGATAACTACATTGGAGGATTCTGTTAGAATTTCCAGAAAGCCATGAGATTTTTGCATTAACAAAAAGGGACTTTTAAAAATGGGTAACATTGATATAGAATACAATTGTGGAGAAAGTAGTGGGAAATATAACAGAAATGATAATTAAATGCCATGTTCCAAGGGCCAGCACTGTGGACTTGGACTCCTGCACCAGGTGGGAGATGCAGAAGAAGCTCCTGGCTCCTGGGATTGGATTGGCCCAGCTCTGGCCATTGCAGCCATTTGCTGAGTACATCAGCTGATGAAAGATTTTTTTTTTCTCTCTATCTGTAACTCTGCCTTTCAAATAAATATTTTTTAAAGGACCATGTTCTAAAGTCTTGGAATGTTAGGCTGGCACATGTGGCTGTACAGGTTGTGTCCTGCAGAGCCCAGGGGGCTGTCATTCACAGCTGGCTATGCACCCAATTTGAGTAGCTGTCCATACATAATGACTTGCAAGTAGAAGACTTTGCATTTTATTTGTAGAACAATAAAGAATTGTTGAATTCTTTTCAAGCCTGAAAATGGTATGATTGTTTTTGAATCTTTAGGAAATTAATCTAGCAATGTTTTGAAATATGACTTGTGTTCCCAAAATATGAATGTGGAATAAACCAAACATGATGGCCTGTTAGACAAATGAATTAAATTTATAATTTGTTTAGATGAAAGAGAGCAAAGCAAAAATGACTAACACTTTTTCCAAAGTGACTAGAAAATTGATGTACCCTGAAAAAACATTTATGGTGATTGGTATAGGATAAGGTATAGAATTATTTCTCTTTTGAACCTTAAATTACTATGACTAGTTAGACAATTAGCTATAATTCCCTCCTCCAACTTTTTATTTCTCTTTCTCTTATTTTCAGGCTGGAGTCATCGATGTGAGTTATGGAACTGCAGATGACTTAAAAAGGATTAAAAAAATGAAAAATACAACAAATCAGATTGCACTCCTGAAACTAGGAAAATTGCCACTCCTTTATAAGGTTGGTCCAATGTCTATTATTCAGTGGTAGTATGGACATTATTTTGCTTTGTTTTGTTGGATTTATGTTCCTCTGTGAGCATGGAGCCTGTCAACCTGGTATGTGTAAGAGAGAGAAAGAGAGAGGAGAGAGAAATGGACAAACACACACAGAATAAAAAGCATGGAGCTCAGAAAGATGCAGCAAGTATTACAGGAAGATGGGTTTTCTGGAACTGAGCATTTTAGATTAAGATCTTTAAGCAACAAAATTAATGTCTTTATTCCTTAAAACAGGAGATAACTTAAGCTACGTACTGATGAATTTTCGGGACCTCAATGAGATTGGCATACTTTTTTTTTATAATGATACCTATCTGAAAGGCTAAAAATAGAAAGAACTACAGTGTCCACTTGTTGTGACATATGTGAATATCCGTTATCAAAACTGACTACCATGTACTTTATGTTAGACCAGAATCCCGCTGATTTACAGTCCTTAGTGATTGATTTTTATCAACTATATAACTTCACAGTTACTAGCTATGTGCAGAGATTTAATTAAAATATAATAATGCTAAGGAGAAGCAGAATTTTGATTTATTTTATTTAAATAGAAGTTTATTAACACTAATCCACAACATACATTTACATAATTGAAGCAGCTCAATATAAGTGGCTGATAATGAACCACAGTAGACAACCACTGCTGCTCATTTTGACTTCATTTCCTATTTGTATTTAAAAAGAATGGTTAGTGTAGTTATGTCACTGTAACACCCTGGTTCTGAGGATATATTGGATTTCTCTACATCCAACCTTAAATGAGCTTTGATAATAATTCCCAGGTCCAAAAAAAAAGTCTAGAAATTCGTTGGCACACTCTGTTAGGAAACAAGAGAACATCCAGTGCCTGTTCTTCACTGTCTTTCAAGGACACCCTTATACTTAAATCAGTGCCTGCTGACAGATAACTGGCCAGAATTTTAAGTTAGTGTTAAAAATATTTTATGAAGGGATAGTAACTTTTTGCTGGATAATTTTTCTTTTTTTATTTTTATTTGACAGGTAGAGTTATAGACAGTGAGAGAGAGAGGCAGAGAGAAAGGTCTCCCTTCCGTTGGTTCACCCCCCAAATGGCCGCAACAGCCGGCACGCTGCACCAATCTGAAGCCAGGAGCCAGGTCTCTCTTCCTGGTCTCCCATGTGGGTGCAGAGGTCCAAGCACTTGGGCCATCCTCCACTGCCCTCCCGGGCCACAGCAGAGAGCTGGACTGGAAGAGGAGCAACCGGGACTAAAAGGAGTAGGCTTTTCCAAGCCAGCTACAAAAAATAAAAATCAAGATTTCAAAAGAAATAATTGAAAGCAGGTCAGAATATTATTAAGTCTCTCACTCAAATCTGGATTATAAAAGACTTGAACTGGAGGGTCAAAGGTTTATGAGGAAGAATTTTGGACAGATCTAGCGATATGTCCAATGACTAAGACTTCAGTGGTACCACATGGAAGACTTAATGTATGACTCCTGGGCGTCTAATAAATGAGTTCAAAAGAAATATCTATATTGGAATTGGCCTGCATCCCCAGTATTGGGAGCAGAAAAATTTAAGTGTGTTTCCTCTGGACCAGTTATGGGCCTGTGTGTTCTGCCTTCCTTCCTGTACTGGAGTTGATACTTGGATTGGTAATACACGGGGCCAGTGACTGGTGAGATTAAAGTTGCTTTTGTCTGGAAATAGAAAACTGTGTGGGACTGTTTCAGTTAATTAAGAAGAGTGGGAATAAGAGAGGGAAGAGATGTATAATTTGGGACATGCTCAAGCTGACTTGCCCCAAATGGTAGAGTTAGAAACATACCAGGGGATTCCAATTCAATCCCATCAGGGTGGCATGTACCAATGCCATCTCACTATTCCAAGTGATCAATTTCAGTTCACAATTGATCATAATGAAAGGACTAAGAGTCAAAGGGAGCACATAAACAAGTCTAGTACCTGCTAACACTAACCGATAGAATAAATAAAGGGGAGAGTGATCCAACATGGGAAGTGAGATACTCAGCAGACTCATAGAATGGCAGATGTCCTAAATAGCACTCTGGCCTCAGAATCAGCCCTAAAGGCATTCGGATCTGGCTGAAAAGCCCATGAGAGTATTTCAGGCATGGAAAGCCAAGACACTCTGGCAAAAGATCTCTGTGAGTGAGAACCCAGTGGAAAGAACAGGTCTTCAAAGAAGGAGGTACCTTTCTCTGAAGGGAGGAGAGAACCTCCACTTTGACTATGACCTTGTCTAAACAAGATAAGAATCGGAGAACTCAGAGGGCTTCCATAGCCTTGGAAACTCATGACTGGAGCATAGGGAGATTACTGATGCCATAGACAGGAGTGTCAATTGGTAAAGTCAACAACAGGAGTCACTGTGCACTTACTCCTCATGTAGGATCTCTGTCCTTAATGTGCTGTGCATTGAGATTTAATGCTATAACGAGTACTCAAACAATATATTTCACTTTGTGTTTCTATGGGGGTGCAAACTGTTGAAATCTTTACTTAATGCATACTAAACTGATCCTCTGTAAAAAAAAAAAAAAAGAAAAAGAAAAAGAAAAAAAAAAAAGAAATTATCAACTCCCAACTTGACTCTCACTGGGATTAAACATGACAATAGGTCTGCTCTGATTTCATCATCATTTAAAAAATCATCTATTATTTTTCACTTTATGTTTCTGTGTGGGAGCAAACTGTTGAAATCCTTACTTAATGTATACTAAGCTGATCTTCTGTATATTAAGATAATCGAAAATGAATCTTGATGTGAATGGAAGGGGAGAGGGAGTGGGAAAGGGGAGAATTGTGGGTGGGTGGGACGGTATGGGGGGGAAGCCATTGTAATCCATAAATCGTACTTTGGAAATTTATATTCATTAAATAAAAGTTAAAAAAAAGAAGGTATTCACAAAATCCAAAAGCATCCATAAACATCTTTGAGTCCCAAAGAAAATAAATTATCTTAGGGCAGGAAAAAATGAAGTCAAAATCCTCCATGCTAGATCTCTTACTTCTAAGCTCTATCTAACACCACAGAGATAAGTGCACAGTTAGTGCATGGAGAGGGAAATAAAAGAGACTTCATCTGTTCTCAAAAAGCAGATCTGAACTGGAGGAAGGATAGGAGAAAGAAATTTTAAATCCAAGGTGGGATTTCGATCATGATATGAGATTATCATTATAAATGTTTATTAAGACTAGTGACTAAAGTTAATTATAGAAATTTGTTTTAGCAATAATCAGGAAAACAATGGGATAGTCTGAGTTTTCATCTAGGTGTCTGAGGAAGAATGTTCCTCTTTGAATATTCTTAAGGTAGAGTAACATTGCTTTGGATGTATTCCACGAATCTTGTATGTTCACCTTAGCAGTAACTAAAACATTATGTGTTAAGGGTCGACTGTATAATTTGCATGATGAAGTTATGGCTAATTTCTGCATCTTTATACTTTTCTAAAACATAGAAATTTCCTAAAATATTTTTATGAAATATTTCTAAAGATGCTATAATCACTTTCCATTTATTTTGTATGCAGAAGCAATGCTTTAAAAATTCAACTGAAAATAAGGTACTTTATATTTTTTTAAAAAAGATTTCTCTATTTATTTGAAAGAGTTACAGAGAGAAGGAGATGGAGAGGGAAAGACACACACATACACACACACAGAGAATCTCTCATTTGCTGGTTCACTTCTCAGATGGTCCCAAGGGCATTGGTTGAGCCAGGCTGAAGCTAGGAGCCAAGAGGTTCTTCTAGGTCTCCCTTGTGGGTAGCAGAAGCCCAAGAATTTGAGCCATCTTCCACTACTTTACCAGGTGCATTAGTCAGGAGTTGGATCAGAAGTCGAGCAGCCAGACATGAACCAGTACTCATATGAGATGGCAGTGTTGCAGGTGGCAGCTTTACCCACTACACCATAATGCTGGCCCCAGGGCACTTTAAATATTTTCTAATAATGCTTGCAAGCCAAATACATACTCAGAATCCTTACCAATACATAATGGATTTTAAAAAAAGCAAATGTTTCCTTGTATTTGCTTCAGAGAATATTGGTATTTTGAAACCTTTTGGTCATATCTACAAAGCAGTAAATTAGTGGTTTATCTAAAATGGGACACAATTAACAAGAACCTGCTATCTTAATATTGATAATTTTCTTATAGGCCTAAGATAGATTTGGGAAAAAATTCTGTCAGAATCCCTGTCAAGACAAACTTTGACACACATTTGGCATTATCTTCTAAGGGAAGGAGACAGGGAATCATCTCTTTAACCTTTAAAATCCCATTCTAGCCATCTCTGTTCTCTGTGAATTGTCTCAGAGACTTAGAAGAACTCATTAATACTGGTAGGGGGTAAAGAAAAGGAGCATTAAACATGGTTACAGTCGAGCTTGGTTCACCTGGCTGTCAAATACATTCAGGGGCTGAAATTCAAAAGTGAGGTAATGTGATAATATAGCAGGTTAATAAAGGCAGAGGACCAGCTGACCCCTGTGTGAATCACAATTGTTATTCATAATTCTAAATGAGCATTTGGTCTAGGAACAGGCAGCTGAATGAGTAAAGAGAAAAGTTAATCTTATTTTACTGTGCAGTAGTTACTAAATCATAGTTGAAAACTGAATTTGGAAGGGAATCTCTGCATCTGATATAGAGAGGGCAAAGGGAATGCATAATTGTGATATTAAATTATCTCCTCATATGGGTAGAAAAATAATTGGCAGCTGAGAAAGAAGAGATCTCATTAGTTTTATCATACATACTATGTATGTATTAATTTAGACTCTAGGAAGGGATTGAGGAGAAAATCCCCACGTTGTGCAATAGGAACTGTGAAATGCAAAGGGATTTTAAATATATGCCTTGACACTGGCAACTTTTGCGGCAAAAAGGGTCAACCAAACTCCTTCCAGACATAGCTTCTTTAACTTAAACCTTAGAGGAAAGGATTTACATCTATTTAAGTT